CAGGTTTGTCTTCTCTGATACTCAAGTGATATCAAGAGAGACCTATCCTGTCCAACTCTGCCCTGCCCTGCTAAGCCTTGCCTAGCTTGATTCAGTGCCCACAACAGTGTCCACAAAATCAGGGGTGAGACAAAGCACTGGAGCATTTTGTTATTTGTGTGTTAGCTTTGTTTTTGAGACAGAGTCTGCCTATGGAGTCCAGGTTGGCCTCAAACTTATGATCTTCTGGCTTCAGTCTCCCAAGGGCTTGGTCTTACAAGCATGTTTCTGGTTGAAACTTTAATTTTGTCTGTAAGATTAGAAGGGGGAAGGAAAAGTAGGGGACTTTGGATAGAGACATTGTTGGTAGAAATGAACAGGTCCAACTGGAGTCCTTAGAGTTGGCAATCTAAAGTTCACAGGACCATCAACACTAGCTCCAAAGCAAGATAGTCAGCCACATTCCTCAGTAAAAGTGTTTGTGTCTTGGGCACTCAGGAGTGGCTGACAAAGATACAGAGCTGGCTCTACTCACCTGACTCTTCTTACATCTCAGTAATCAGGAGGCTGAGGCAGGAGAATCACAAGTTTGAGACAAGCCTGGGCTACAAAGGAAGACCTTGTCTCTGAAAACAGAAAAGGGAAAGATAGGCAGAGATACGAAGTTTTCTAATATCTAAAATATGAATTGAAACTATGCGCTCTGAAAATGAAAGTGTGCAGGTTTACCTAGGACTCATAAAAGAATTATTTTCATGACTAAGACTCTGAGAAAATCGCAAGTTGAACAATAAATACAAATTAACTCTATTTTCTTTTCATTTCTGTCTTGGATGGCCAGAGGGAAGTAGATACTGATTTGATGTGCTGATCTTTGCATGGATATAAACACAAAAAGACAAACCGACAAAAGTATGTATCAATTATCCATATGTCAAATACATAATGTATATATGGTGTAAATGCTGAAAAAAAAAGTCTAAACAATCAGATGGCATGACCAGGGAAGTCTGGAGCAGCCTGTCTATGCAATGTGTCCTTTTGTGGTATCATCACAGCCCATTGTAGGAAAGGACCCACAGTTTTTACTTGGATGCCCAAGACAGCCATCTGCTCATACACAGGAGAGTAATAGAGCAGAAATCATAACCACAATCAGAATTTCTGCACTCAGGCACTCCTGAAATATATTAGTCACATTGATGCCGATTAAGAGTAAGACCAGGCATTCCCACCAATCAGAAACTGCCAATACCTGGTTCAGGTAGCACACCTGCAGGATGTCCCACCCCCTCAGCACCAAGAGAGGAAAAGAAGCTGTCATGGAAGAAAGTGATGAGAGGGACATTACTATTGCAGATGATCAGACCACTCAGGTGGAGCACTTGAACTTGGTGATTTGAGGTCCCAGTAGGCCAAAACTGGCTCCAAGGCCAGTGTCTTCAGGCACTGTTCTCAGGAAGGAGAGCTTGAGTCCCGGGGTTTCAATGACTGGGATGAAGAAGCAGAGCTATCTGCAGAGCTATTGCTTCTGAGATACGTCATCTGACCCTTCCTGCATCACAGGAGGGGATGTGTGCCCCCTCCATTCCCATTGCTGTGCAGCCAGGCAGGACAGTAACCTGGATCAAGTCCCAGGTGAATCTCTTAAAACCTTTGTGAACTTAGGCAAATCATGAATCTCTCTGAGCTCTGATATCCTCAGCTCCCAAGCAGACAGATGTGTCTTTTCTACATGCTGAAAAATGTCAGCATGATACTCCTAACCCAGAACCACAATTAGGAAAGATAACCCCAAAGCAGTTAGGATATTAAAGCAATATTGTGTATGTGTGTGTGTGTGTGTGTGTGTGTGCCTTGAACTCAGAACATGGGTGCTGTCCCTGAACTATTTTGCTCAAGGCTAGTGCTCTACTACTTGAGCCACATCATCACTCCCAGGTTCTTTGCCGGCTAATTGGGGATAAAATTCTCCTGGACACCCTCCCCTGTCCACCTAACCCCCCCCCCAATGCTCACCCACACACACACAGCCCTCCCCTGCAGCCCGGTCTGGCTTCGAACTGCAATTCTCAGATTCCAGTCTCCTGATTAGATTATATTACATTAGCTTATATTACAGGTGTGAGCCACTGGAGCCCAGCAAATACTTTATAGTTACAAGAGTAAGGGTCTGGGCTGGAGGATTTCTTGTATGCTGCACTTGTCACTAGATTGGCAGCTCTATAACCTGGCAGTGATGAGGGACCTGGTCTCCCTTCCTTGGCCTGTCCCCTTCTCAGGGAATCTTCCAGATAACCCTGATGGACTGTTGATCTCGGTGAGTTGTTTGGGTCTTGCCTGGGCCCTAGAGCGTGTGCAAACCTGGATGCACACTGCTTGGGAGCTGGCCAGTTCCTGCAGACCACACCTCCCTCCCGCCTTGTGCCTCATCAATCCATCATCCTCTTAGCAGCTGACACCTCTGGCAGCGCCTCTTGGCAGCCCGGGCATTAGAATTGCAAGAAGCCCGGCTGCACTGGGGAATACAGATGGAGGAATCTCAGATTCAAATTTGTCTAAGTATTGTGAACAGCCAGGCCCTGGCAAGGCGTCTCCATTGCCCTTCCACCAAAGGGGAGTGGCAGGGGGGTTTTGTTAGAAGTACAAATTGCTTCTTAATGCAGAGGATAAAGCTGGGCTCCGGCACCTCCTTAGAAATTCCTCCTGCTCCTAGGAAAAGCCACCGCTGCATGTCAATTTTAATTTTTGAAATTTAAACTGAGGGCTTTGTGTCTAAGCTCCATCTCATCGGAGGAAGGGGAGGAATAAGTCAAAAAGGATTAGGGGCCCCGCTGGGGATTGCAGATCCATAGCAATTAGACTTCATTTGGGTCTCAGACATCGGGTTTTAATCGCATTTCTGGATGACACAATCAACAAGATATCAGAAACTGATATGCATGCAACTGTAGCAGTGCTGACTGTGTCCTCCCCAGTTCTTGGGTGCAGGTGGGCTCAGCTGGGTTTAGGCCCTACAATCAGTGAGGTAGAGCAGGGTAGGGAATTGGGGGGGGAGGTCTGTTTGGATCTGGAACTGGAGAGTGGTCATTTGTAGATAGCTAGTTTTCCCTAGCTGTCTTTATGTACTTTATCCGTGGACTGAAAACCTGGCATAATCATTGCTTATATTCAAGTGGATGACTATAAAAGATAATTCAAATAAAATAAGAGCGGAAAGAATAGTGACAGCACAGGACTCAAGGCAGGGGGTGTAATTGTTTTTTAAATGGGAATCACAGCTTTCAGCATCCTACAGAAACTAAAGTCTAGTCCAATGCAGTTTGGGAGCGGATGTGCAGCCAGAAATATTCTCATGCCCCACACCAGCATGGATCTATGAATACATGTGTAACATGGAGCATATAGGGAGATCTATAGGACAATAGCCACACTGAAGTTGTGTGTGCATGTGTGTGTTACACAGATATGCACCCCTCCATCATAACCTCTGTGCACACATCTCTTTCTAACAACCAGTCAAAATGAACTCAGTAAGGCTAAGTGTTTTGGTGCAAGCTTGCTATTCCAGTATTTAGGAAACAAGAGAATAGGAGAAATTCAGGCCAGCCTGAGCTACCTAGCAAGACCCTCTCTCAAAAACAAAATGAAGCTGCAAAGGCAGTAGCAGGCAGCTAACGAGCTGTTTGGTAGACAATTTACCATTTGCTGGAACTCGGTGTTCCATAAACAAAAACAAAAAAGCAAAAAGCAAAAAATGTGAAACCACATGGGGTATTTTCCTACCTTGTGAGTGTAGAACACTAAAGGGGAGAGAGCCAGAACCAATCAGAACCAGCAGTCCCTCACCCCACTGTGAATCTAGAAAGGAACATGTCAGAAAAGGGCTATCACTCCCAGAGAGGCACCACAAGGTTTTGGGTAAATCCACGGAGCTGGAAGACCCACAGAGTTGCCTCAGTTTACCAGCTCTGTGGGGGAGATGTGGACCTTCCTGAGGTAATACTAAGTGGACATGGACTGAATAGGTTGTATCCCCCTCCCTCCATAGCTCTCCTGTGAGGCATCCACAGAGCCTGTTCAGAACCCAAGAGCTCACAGGACTTACTGGCAGAGAGGCCCTCCCTTCTGGCCCCCTCCCGCAAGTCCAGGAGAAAAAATGCATCCAGATGGCTGGAGACAGACTAATCTCTGCTTTTCTCTAACCTGCCCCTTTCTCTCTAGGACCTCCGGCTGAGGAACCTCCAGCCAAAGGTGACCTGCGGCTCTTCCTCTCCCCACACCTTTTCACAGGTGGCAGGGCATGGCAGTGGCTGCAGAGCAGGACAGAAATGGGGCTATTAGGAATCTGTTTCAGTTACATGTAGCAAGGTGGACATGTGCAGACCCAGTAGGGGCATGCTGACAAAGACCACAGGAACCCATAGTCTAAAAACATAATTTAATGCATTTCAATGAGTATGAATCAGGAAGGAATGCCGTGTGTATGTGGAAAGGTGGATTTTTCTATTTTCTGGAATTCTGCTGGGAATGAGCTGTTGGCTGATGGACAGGAAAATCTGCACAAGTATTCCGGGTCACAAAATGGGAAGCCCCAGGGAGCTGTGCTCTTGTGGGCCTGTCTCCCTGGTGGGGCCTGGAGCCCTTGGCCTGGGGCACTGGGAGAAGGAGGAGGGTCTGGGGGAGAGGGCAGACTCCCTCGCAGCCGTCTGTCCAATCCAATCACATTGCAAAGTCTCTGCGCCTCCAGGGCTCGGGTTCATGCTCAGCTCATACTTGGACATCCCCTCTCCCTTCCCAGGTTCGGCACAGGAATCAGGGGCGCAGTTTACAGCTCGGTGAGTCACAGACACACTGAGGCCAGGAGCGGGGCAAGGAGGACAGCAGGGATGTGTCTTTTCCATCAAAAAGATCAGGAAGTGTCATGAAGCTGAAGAGTGGCCCTCACCAAAGAGCCGCGCGCTCCCGCGGGAACCTGGCAGCTTGAAGCCACCCAGCGTGCGCGCACGCCCTCAGCGCCCCTAATCCGGGTACAGAAGAAAGCCCGAAAACGTGCTGTACTTGTTGTTATTGCCACCGTGCGCCTTCCCGCCGTCCAGCTTCACGTACACCTCGTCCCCCGAATCCAGGTGCAACACCACGCTGTTACTGGCGTAGTCGTAGTTCTGGTCTGCGTCTTGAGCGATGGCGCTGGCTCGGACCTAGGGGCGAACCGGGGGAGTGAATGAGCCAAGACCTTTCCCTGAGGCCTGAGCGGGCCTCTAAGTGGTGCGGGGGAGTTGGGGTACGGAGACGGGTACTGGCCCTCCATCTGTCTGCAACTTCTAGCCCACACTCCCTCCCCTGCTCCCTGATCTCTCCAACTTAGCCACTTCCTTCCCCTCGCCGCAGCCAGGATGAGGGCTGGAAGGACCCTGACCCAGAGTGGAAGGGTGGGAAGCCGGGGTCAAGGTCAAGAGGAAAGGCGCTGGAGGGCAAGGGGCGACTCAAGCACAAACGAGCAGCTTCTAAAGAACACTGAGGTTTCCGAGGAGCTCGTGCGATTCCATGCGGGAACGCAAATTACCGGGGAGCACACAGTTTGGGTAGCGGGGGGTCCCTGGGCGCCAGAGACCCAACCTCCCCTCCGGTGGCGCTACTTTCTGGTTAGCGCAGCCGGAGCGCAATGGGGAGCCAGGGCTGTGGCACCAAGGCGCACTTCTTCCCCAGGCTTGCCGGTGGGGAGAAAGGGAGCTCGTTCCCTGGCGGTTCTCAGGACGGGAAAAGACCTGCTGACCTGCTGAGAGGATGGGACCCGGCCGGGCTGGGGATCACTGACCTGTCCGTTCTTGCAGAGATCTGCCCACATGCTGGTGCCGTCGCCGCCGCGCATGAGGATGTGGTAGGTGAAGAAGTAGATTCCTCGCACCTGGCAGCTGAACTTGCCCGTGGTGGGGTCGTAGTGATTACCCAGATTGGTGACCACGTCGTCGAACTTGAGCACCTCGTAGCCTTCGTGGGGGCTCTTGAGTCCGACGTAGAAAGCGATCTTGGGGCCACTGAAGGCGGCGCTCAGCGCGCTGGTCACTTCGCCCTCGGGATCGCCGCCGCCCCCGGCTCCGCCGCCCACCACTCCGACGCCACCGGCCGCGCTCGTTGTCAGCTGCAGCCCGGGCAGCCCTGGCCTTCCCGAGTCGCCCTTCTCCCCTGGAGGGCCTCTGGGCCCAGGCGGACCAGGTTCTCCAGGGGGACCCCGGGGCCCTGGTTTGCCAGGTCGCCCTGGGTCGCCCTTGGGTCCCTGGATAAAGGGGGGCGGAGGGTTGGCGCTGAGGTCCTGCATGACTTCCAGGGCAGCGGTGCTGGGTCCGGGCGGCGGCGCCTTGGCGCCCGCGGGGCCCCCTCCGGGCGCGGCGCTGTACGGGTCGCAGATCATGCGGCAGGTGCCCATCATCTCGTAGTGCGCCGCACCGGGGGGCGCCGCCTGCAGCAGCAGGGGCACCGCGATGAGCAGCCCGAGCGCCATGGCCAGGAGTACGCCGACGGCCGCCAGGCAGGCGCGCCGCCGCCGCTGCCACAGCCGGGAGGCGACCGCCACCAGCTCCTCCTTGCCGCCCGGGGAGGTAATGGTGGGGCGGCGCGGGTGGCCCCGCTCCCCGCGCTCAGGAGCCAACTCCGCGGGTCCTGACCGC